CCCACTCATGAGTGACTGTGTGTTTTTTGGGGGAAGTTGTAATGCAGGATTATTGAATGAGATTTTCGAAGTTCAAAAACGATGTGCACGTATAAGATTGCGCCTTTTCAGGCTAGAACCATGCCGCTACTCCTGAAATATGTGGGTGGCTACCCATCAATAACATCTGCATAGAAAGAAGGCTATTTCTGTTCCAAAAAATCCTGGATGGACGCGCACGGGGCAGTTACCTCTCGGAGAAACTTATATGGCACAAGGTCTCGGTTGTCTTATCGCCTTTCTATTTCACGTAACAATAGCATCTGAATGCAGTTAAGCTGCGTAATTTAGTCTGCTCTTCCGATGTTAAGAATTAAGTTCAAAAGAAATTACTTTGATTTAATCATGTGTAAATTCACGCCTGAGAGCTTAAGAATAAACAGAACTCAGACTTCACAAGTCAGAACGCACGTTCAGTATAATCAGTAGTGTTGAGTCCTGTAAATGTTGAACACAGCTCCTTTCTTAACATAGCACTGCTGGAACAAAACAAGATAAACATTGAGAGATTGTCTAAGCTTTTTGTTTCAAACTTTTCATTTGAATAGCCTGCAAAACCCTCTCGGACTTACTTGTTATTATTTGTTTTTATTCATACAGCTTCGTCTGGTCCATAAAAACGGTGAAGGAAATAAAATGGGTTGTTTGAGCTTGACCTATACGTTAAACCTACTTGGCATGGTCACATGCAAATGTAACAACAGCCGCTGTTTCCTTATAAAGCTTGAAGTGATCTCTGCCGATCGAGATACGTAGGTGTCTTCGAGTGTGACGTACCGACAGGGATGGTTAATTAATTACAACCCGTAAAACAGGCCCAAATAAGTCGTGTTCCAGTTCTGCCAGCTTAAATATAGTTACAGGCAGGGATAGCAACGGTAAATAAAATCATGCCTTGAATACACCGAATGCAAATATGGCGGACCTCTCTTGATCAAGCTTTAATCCGGTATCGCAAGGTATAAATAAAGTGAGCATTTGTCGTCTCCTACAAATTGTCTTTGATTTTAAAGTTCTGAAGCCGTAGCTTTTGAATCAAGATAAAGAGGACATTTGCCAAGGGTCTCAAAAATAGGAGAAAGGTCAGTGTTTCATTGTCATTGTATCTTGTGGCAAAACTCCGTCTATAAGCATTTGTTAACATACCTCTTGTCCAGACGATCAAATTTTAAAGGTAAAGGTTATTTAAAGCAACCATATTTCACGTCGACAACCCGTGACAGTAATTCAACTGATAGACTTGAGGTCGACGGTGCCTTCATATGCTCTTCCTTTCTCCCTCAATTCTCCGGTAAAAAGGAGTACGGTGTTCGACCGCGGCTGCCAGACCGCTGTCATGGAATAATTAAGGTTAATGCTCTATAGATGCCGCACTTGATCGACAAATAAATGGATCAAGTTAAGAGACTTCTAGCCGGGAATTCGTTAGTGTTTGGGTTAAGTGCCATTTAACCAGGAGAAATAACAACCCTAGTTTTACTTCCTCCTTAATCAAACTTGCTCTGTTTTCGACTAAAACGAGTCTTTACCAGAACAATTTAATGGAATGCAGTATTTCGATCGCGATAAATTTATCCGTAGTACCGCATGACCTACATGAAAATGAAGCTCATCGAAGGTTCAATTTGTATAGGTAATCGCATGATTTGTAGTGATGTTTAGTATGAATACCACAAGTGATATTTCAAAATTGTTAAACATAATTTCACGAGCCGTTAGGCGAGTGAAATTTGAGACAATTTTAAAATATCACGAGTGGTATTTTTACCAAATATCACTACAAATCATGCTATTATTTGTTTATACTACTACTCACAAAAGGTTTGTAATTTTCACATGTAGGTATTTCAAATCAAGCTGAAATACCACTGCTCTAAGCCAATCAAATTGCAGTTATTTCTCATGCAGTAGTATAAATCTTGAATTAACTGATTGGATTACCCATATTAAAGCTCATAGTCTCCATTCGTCAATGCACACATATTTCTTGTGGAAAAGACTGAAAGCCACCAAGCCAGTTTGATTTAGTATTTTTTATAACCCTAGATAGACCCTATAGACACTCCATATCGGTCTCAAAAATGGTTTTATTTGGACATTTTGAGGTTTTATGTCCAATATTCAAGGAGTTTATCCTAGGAAGAAGCAGTCACACACAAAGTATAAGCCTATAATACTTCCGCGTGCAAGAATTCCCATGCATATACTAGCGTGACTCACGTCACAGCCATGATTTTTGGTACTCAATTACCAGCACTTCCTTATATGCACCTGCTTACATTTTCACCAATGCTTTGGAGCAGATCTTAAAACAGTTGCCCCGTAATTTTACAGTCATTTTCTGGAGTCAATCCTATGAGAGACTTTTTAGAATTCAGTGCGGGTAATGACCTCAGCAGTGGATAGCGATCTGCCACTGATCTGCAGAGAAATTGTCAGTGGCGCTCTAAGAGAAGATTGAAATTCAGGCTCAAATTGTGTCTTCAGATATCATATATAGCAGTTTCTCTACATTCCCTTTGAAGTGTTTTACTTTGACTGAGCTACGTTCAGTCTGGTCCCAGGAGTCCGGTTACGTCAGCCTCTATGAAAAGTATTTTTTTCGAAATCTTAAAATTTAACTGAAAGGGGACACACTATGCAAGCAATCAGTTACGCGAAATCCGGCTAAGTAATGGATAGGATAGTAATGGATATAAGCACCTGTCAGTCCATACTTCTGCAGTTAGCTGAGTAGTAACGTACAGAGAAAAAAGTTACCAGAAAATCATAAACTAAGGTCTATGCAGAAACTTCTTGCGGGTTACACGCTGTGCCTGTTTTGTTCTGCGTAGTTTCTCGTGCACGATCTCTTGTACATGATATATTTCTTCTTCATCAAAACGTTTTTAAGATAATAATAGCTTCCCTGCGCTGCAGCCGGACTTGTCACTCGAGACCCAGATAGAGAGCTCGACATACCGTATTTCCGCGAATAATGGCCGTCCCTAGATTAATCGCCTCCCTCGAATAATCGCCCCCCTTTGATGGAAATATTTAAAATAATCGCCCCTCCCCCCATCCTTCTCGCCATTTTCTCTTTCTTTTATCACCTCCCTGTCAAGTTGAAGTGGAATCTGATCCAGCAAAACTGATCAAAGACGATTCAAGCTCTGAAAATGAATCACGGAACCAAATTTGGAAAACTTAAAAAGCCCATTTTTCATAATTTTTTGATTTAAATGGGATAATAAAACAAACTATTTAGTGCACGACTACCAGTAAGCAACATTTGAAATAATAGCCTCCCTCGAATAATCGCCCCCTTTTGATGCGAAAAAAGAAATAATCGCCCCCGGCTATTATTTGAGGAAATACGGTATATTTCGGTATATAAGACTTTGTGCGACGCAGGCTATTGTGGTTATAGCCAATGGCGTCACGATTTTCGAACTATCTTTCTGGGTTATTTAGCCAAGGTTCAGGGAATCCCCTATAGCTGTCGTGTTATTTAAATTGATGTAATCCCCACCCCAAACAAAGATTAGCGAGTTTAAGATACGGAGGCTACGGACTACGAACTACGGCTTGACGAGCGTTGTCCTTCGGTTCGTAGCCTGAGTCGTGCAAATATAGAACGTTAAGATTGCACTACAGACAGTAGACTACGACAGAAGAGGCAGAGAGGGAAACAACACGCAAAGATTTTCTTGTTTTCATCACAGTTCACAAAAATGCAAGTCAGTTTTGCATGTGATCTTATCTTTAGAACAATGAACAAATTCTTCCATACTCGAAGGAAGCAATTACGTCGGGTGAAATTGGTAAACAAAGTTTTGGTTACACAGGTTTTATTTTTTCGCCCATGAATACTTATGTCAAATATTAAAGATATAGACAGAAATAGTAATAGCTCATTTATTAGATTTAGAAGATGGACTTCTCCGACTACTGATCTGATGTAGTTTGAAGTACTGAAATGCCGAGTTTCGATTGTCTCGAGCATGTTTACATCATTTTCATTCAGCAAATGGCGCCATACAAAAACTCGCATAAATAAAGGTTACACAAGTACAAAGACTCACTAATCAGTTCGAACAAACATTGAAACTTTTCAAGTGCGAAGAGAAAGTAAATTACCTCCATGATTTCTCTTCTCCTAGGCCCTCAATCTGAATTCTGCGTATAAACAGCTAAGCTTATTTAAACATGAGCTTAGCTAGATAAAAATGTAGTCACAACAGTGGATTAAAAGCGTAAATCTGAGCAGAAATTAGACACAACTTACATATTTCGCTTCCCTCTCACTTAAAGCAGGTGAATTGAAAACGTTTTTACGAAAAGACGAGATTCTTGAATTACCGAGACGGCAAAATACTAGCAAAACGTTCTCCGTAGTCCCGACTACGCGAAACAGCTCAACAACTCACCGTAGCCGCAGGACTACGCGGGAGAAATGAACAGTCACGTGGTTTTGATCAAGCGCGGTAGCATATTTATCCGTAGCCGTAGTCCGTAGTCGCCGTATCTTAAACTCCCTATTATGTGTTACTACGTACGTAATATCGGTACTGAGCCGTCGCTGAAAGCAAATAGGGAAAGCACTGAGAGCGGTCATTAAAGTATTTGGTCGAACAGACTCATACGTTACCAAATCAAGTTTAACTGTTTTTCTATTATAAAGCAGATTTCTGTTTATATGTTCAACTCATCGACCACGCGTGTGAGATGGCCTACTACGTGTCCTCCTGCAGGCTGACATTTGATCTCAATTTTGTTCGTTTCTTAGCCTTTCAGTTGGGTCCAGTCACCTTGCTCAAAGTGAGTCCCGTGCTTGCTGAAACCAGCTGCCTCGTTACTAGAACACTCTTACGTTAATTCCCTTTGAATTTGATATTTTACTATACTCCCCTATATATATATAGGATATATGTATTCAACATGCCTTTAAATGCAATATTCTACCATAAGCACAGTCCTGCATGCAAGGCGAGGCGAAAGATATCGATCGTAACATTATTACAGTGTAAGTACAACTTTTATATATTATATATTCTGTATTTTTTAGGCCAAGTTTCTGAAGGTTATAGTAGACACTACCCTCGGCTCCAGAGGTCCGTTGTAGAAATACCTAGGAAATAAACTGTGCTCACGGTTCGAAAAAGCTCCGTTGTTTTTTTCTCTCGGTGCTTCGCCCCTCGCTTTCGCTGCTTCGCCGCGAACTATCAAGCTCCAGATAAGAAAACGTAACCGCTGGAACCCAATGAAGGTAATTAGACACAGGTATGCATTGCTGAAATAGACTCATTTAATTACATCAGAACTTAATTCCTTCGGGTTTTAGAACTCATCATTCTTTTACAGAAGCCTTTCGTATGAGGTGAAGAAAATTAGGCTTAGAAAGTCACGTTGCATTGGAGAGAACCCGGTTTTTCCGGAAGTTATTCACCCGTACTAGTACCCAGATAGCCTGAATTTTCATGACGTATCTCGAACAAATGTTGCGCAACGCTGACCATTGAGACGTGACACTAAATACTTCCAAAAATTTAATTACTTAAATGGTTGAATTTCTCATCAAGAGTTTGTCTTGCAAATAGAGTCTGTGTTATCAATTTTGCTGGGATTCATCCACTGACATCCATCGGTCTCTGCCACCTTTGCACCTGCTTTGCATTAATTACGTTCCTCATTTTATTTTGTTTTTACTATTATTGAGCAATTTTATCAGACACGACCCCACGAGCCCACGAGCGAAACATCGCTTTAACGTCTACCTTATACCGTGTATAAATAAAGATTATTGACTGATTACAACCGTCGATGCAACGACGAGATAAAATTGCGACCACAAAGAGAAAAGATAAGCTTATTGGTGCAGCATTACAACCTACAATACGGTTACCTAGGTACACTCGCCACAAGTCGACTGCGAGAGCGGAAGGCGCGAGAAACGCTCCCCTAAAAGTGTGTGAAAACGACGAGACGTATTAAAGTTGTGAAAGTGTATATTTACCTAAGCAAAAAATGACCTGATAAATGCGAAATTGTAAACATTTCAACAGAATTTACGGTTTACAGCTGCGCGACATTTGCACGACCATATTATTTTGTTTTGTATTGTTCCTGGTTTGTTTTGTTTTGTTTTTGCCTTTTTTCTATTTTCTCTGTTGAACTGAGTTGCCCATACCTACATTCCACTACATTTTCTCTATCTTCGTCCCACATTTTGCTCATCAAGTCTCGCGATAAGTACAGGGTTTACTCGACGTTCGGTTTTTTTTTTCTGGAATGCATAACGCCATAGCAACCGCCTCTCAGTTTTTCTAGAACGTTTCTTCACTTCACTGATTTTAGACATGATGTAATGAGTAAGCTATTTTGAGTTGAGAATAATGTTATATTAGAGAACCGAGTGTGTTTAAGCAACCGAATCGACTTGGTAACAGCACAGAGTTAAACAGTGGAGAAGAGTTTTTGGCCAGAGGGTGTGATTTTACCACAACTTGGAATCTTTGAAGTTTTTCATTATAAGAGTAAGTTGCAATCTGGGGTTTTAACTATTTTCTGGCTGTTTGTTGACAGCCCGGTCACTAAATCTATCCACAGGGTTTTTCTTATGTTCTGTTTATTTTATTTCATTTTCCCACTTTTTCAGGGCCAAAGTTAGAAAAATTTTAGAGGGGGTCTTCTTTTGCAAAAATGCGATTGACTCTACTAGACAAGAAGTCTAAGAGTTATTAAATCTATCGAGTCACGTGGTTAGAAAAAAGTAAGCAAAAAGTAACTTAAATGTGTACACCGCAAGATTCATTCTCAATTTCATGTGCTTTATTTTTACTTTTAATTATAACAAGACATTGACAGCAGTGGGTTTTTTAAACTGATGCTTAGAAAGGAGCGGTGTCACGTAATTTATCAAACAGACACCTGGGCTCGCGGCTTCCACCAAATTGACTGATACATCAAAATAACCGCAAAAAAAATAAATAAAGAATAAATATAAGATCAAATACGAGAAGGAGGCACAGATGGACTCGAAAAGGAGTGAAACGGATCGCAATGGTGGTTTTTGAAAACTAAGTCTTGTAAGCCTAGCAGTTTTGCAAAGTTGATTTTTATGGTTTGTAACATTTGATGCTTGGGGGACATATTGTTGGACACGAAGCCGTGATTGAGTCATTCTAGCCTACGTGTAGCCGCACTCTCCCCCCGACAAAAGGGAGGGTGCGACTACACGTAGGCTAGTGTCATTCACCAATAGTTTCTCAAATTCCATACATGCCATTCCATGGCACCAGACGGGCGTGACAGAGCCCCCTTAATCTCTGTGGTGACGTAGTTTAGTTATGCATTTAGGTGTCGTGCGTAAATTAGTACTTGAGAGTCAAGAAAACATGTTATAGTTACTGCGGTAAATGTACGAAAGAATGTCTACTTGAGCTTTGAACATTCTATCACGTCTTGTCCAAAATTTCTAATTGTAGACGATGGAAAATTTTCAGTCGACTTGCATGTCCACTATTGACGTAGACGGGTACCTGCCTCGATTCCGATATTCCAATCTCGGTAGTGAAAAGGCCAAACGTTATAGCGTCGATGGGGCTTTCTAAAAATGTAGCGGAACAAACGACACAACGAGAGGAAGGAGAGCAATTTGCTTTCAAAGACCTTTTCTGCATAGTGACGTAATTCAGTAAAATTTCAAGATAAGAATGTTTCCTTCTTCTAAAATTTCAGTTTACAGTATTTTCACATTATCTTTTCACAAATTTCGCTTGCTAAAACTGGTGAACGGCAGAGTTTGTAAGCTCTATTTCTTTGACTTAATATCCGACGCCGTCTGTTTTCCTAGACTAAGTAATCTTGTGCCATACAGCTAATTATAAGGCGGGTAAGTAAACGTCAGCGAATGAATGAGTTTAAGAATCATCTTATTCTGTTAACATGCCTTTCCAAAAAAAAAAAAAGAAAAACAGAGATAATTTTTTGTCTGATTGTCTTGTTGTTATGACTCGAGTATTTGTTTATCGAGGTTAAGATAAAAGTTACCCTATATGTTATGTCCTTTGTGATAGTTGATCCGCCGGCTGGACACAGTTTATGAAACAACAATTAAGACTAATTAACTTGACCAATTTTGCTTAGTTCTTCGATTTGTTTTTCCAGTAACCTCAGCAAGTTATGTTGTTTGTTTGTTTTTGCTTCTACCTTTAGGCCTACAATGCCTGGATACGAGTTATCTTCAGCGGACCGATCAGTTATCGACAAAAAGAATTTATGCCCTAAATGTGAGGGTCTTCTTAGAGAAGCTGTGCAAACAATAGCATGTGGACATAGATACTGTAAAACATGCGTGGAAACGATTCTTTGGTAAGTACGTCAGGTCCTTGGTATAGGGACTTTAAGCAACGACTACGGAAGCGTCTAATACGGTGACCGGAAGTAATTTTTTCCCGCCACGTGTCAATTCCTCAAGACAGCAGTAAAAACATCGCCTTTTAAGTAAAAAAAAACTCGCGTACATTTAACCTTTTTGGTGCTTATTCCACCTCACTTTCTTTGCAAATATAGGCGAATTAGAAAGAGATAAAATTTCGTCGTCGCTTGTTTATGCCCTTCACAAAACCTGAAAATAGACATTTTCAGTCATTAGTCGTGCAGTGACAGCAAAAAAAGTACAAAAACTGTGATAGTTGATACACACTGATCCCTGTCCCAACTAAATTTACAGGCAAGAAGTTGGAAAGTGCATCATCGATGGATCAGATATTCATAGGGAACAGGTTTGCCTTTTCTTTTGATAGTTAATGAATCTTCTGAATACATACTACGACAGTCTGAAACACGGCACACTTCCGTTTTAGTTTAGCCTGAATAACAGAAGCTTTATGAGCCAAGTGAGGCGAAAGTGGCATTTCTTAATATGTGGTTATTTTAGTTAGTCTGAGTACCTTTAACCGCGCGCCACCCAGTTATGATGCTGTATCCTCATTCCACCCTCACCGCGCCCCGCCCCACCCCATGTCGATCCTTTAACTTTTCTTTCTTTCTTTCTTTGTTTCATTTTACTTTCCTTGGAAAAAAACAAAAACAAAAACAAAAACAATTTTCTTTAGCTCAGTTGCAAGAACGCTGCAAATTTTAGCGCAAGACCCCGAACAACCAAGGTCTTATCATGTCTTGGTTCGGCCGGTGGCACGTCTTTGGTGGTCACATTCTTCTTTCTCAAGTTAATTCCAAGGAGACGCAAAGCCACACTCTTGTTCGAAAAGAGTAAGGGAAGTCTCTCCGTTGATGCGGTCCACCTCTACCTCTACCATCAAATCACTAGCCACATGTATCGTACGGAAAGCTCATAAGTGGACCGATAACGGACGTCAGTGGTGCCATTTTACGCTGACGTCCTATTTTACTGTTAATGGAGAGATTATTTAGAATAACTTTTACCGCGAACGGCAAAAATGTGAATTTGAACCTCGTGACATATCTACACATAAAAAGGTACTTACGTGTCAAATTAGACTGCAAATCAGTCGGTTTTTTTCTCAAAATCAGTAAAGAAATCGGTAAACGTGGCGTAAGAGTCTTACGCGCGACGCGCGCGAGCCTTACGCGCCCGTAGGGCGTGTGAGGCGAGAGAAAAAAAAACGTATTTTTAGCGTCTCTCCCCAGTCTCGCTCTCTGTTTTGAGACTCGTTCCAGACCTTTTGTTTGACTGCTCGCGCGTACTTGAATAGAGCGTTTTCACATGACGTCACGGCAGCCATATTGGTGCTCCAAACCAATCCTGTGAGAGTTGATCCCTTTTCCTATGTAAACACCTTCTTTTGTTCCATAAATTTGCATAGATGCTGATCACGTGATTGAAAACGCTCTATACGCAAAAATATGAACTATTTTACAGTCTAGTGTCAAGTTCATCCACAAAACTTATTTTGGACAATTTTCATCCTCTCATTTTCTAATTTGAGAAATTTTTAACTTGAATCTGAAGTTAAGGTTTGTCGTGAATGTGATTCTAGATCCCTCTGTAATATATCACTTAAAGAGCACGCATGATGTTAGTTATCCGTCACCTTCGAAATTATTTGCCAACCTTTTCGTTTACTCTGCATGGGTCAAGTAGTAACTGTTATTTTTGTGTCTAATATATGATAGCAATACGTTGTTTCGTATCACTCTGCAGGTATTTTTGGACCGCTTTGTCGAGCGTGAGATTCAGTCACTGTTGGTCCATTGCATTCATCAAGAAGAAGGATGTGATTGGAAAGACGAGCTTAGAAAACGAGAGGTAACAACTAAGCTTCTATATGATGTTCAAATAAGTCATGATGTATACCCACTTCCAGCCCTACTGACAAGAGCGGTCCCACTGGGGTTAATCTGTAGCCGTGACACTCGTGAGGCAAAAAACAAAAAACATGTATTTCAAAACGTTTTTACCGCACACCTTGTCATCTTGTAATGAAAGTGCCAAGAACGCTTTAAAAGATTTTTTGTCTTGTCTATTATGGTGCTAAACAGGCCACCCATTTTAACCATAGGCTTTACTGTTCAGATAGACCCTCTGTGATGCCCATGCTTGTACCAGCTGGAAATATGTAGAGATGTAGAAATAATAGACGAGATAAAGTGGTTTTCAATTAGGCCGAAGTAGTTTAGGGTATAAGATTTACTCCGTGTTTTGGGGCAGGAATCCTATCCGCGCGTGTACGAAAATTATAGGAGTAATGAAGCTATCTTCAATTTGGCCAAAGAGGTATAGGGCGCATGATTTAATCTTTGTTTTAGGGCAGGAATCTTATCAACGTGTGTCATAATATTATCGGAATAAAGCTATTTCAAATTTGGCCTAAGAAGTATAGTTCTTTTTTCAACATGCTAATGAGGTATCAGCCAACAATAAATAAGAGAAAAAAAAATACTGTAATCGCGCCCGTCTTTCTTTTCTCGGTATTGGCAACAAAACATTTCCTCTGAATTCCAGTGATCCTAGCTGGACAGTAGCCGATTCTAAAATACAATTCTTCGCGTATCGTTCTAAATTATCGCCTGTATTATTATCTCGTTCCCATTATTGTCATAATTGTCAGTTACGTGTTCTTGCGTGTTAGGATCACGAGGCTGTGTGTGAGTACGTTCAAGTTCCATGCGTGCATTCAAGATGCGGTGAACTGGTGACTAGATCAAACCTGGTAGAGCATCTTGAGAAGTGGTGTCAATTCAGAATGGAAAAATGTGACCACTGCCAAACACTTGTTGAGTTTGCATTTTTGGAGGTAAGAATAACTCTACTGAAATCGGCTGTTTACCTTTAGGTTGTCGTCATTTGGAACAGGATCCTGAAGTAATTTATATTTAACGTCCTTTACATCTTCCTTTCCAACGATAAATTTCTGACGTTCATTGACTCTTTACAAATTTCATGCCTCTAAGCTACTACCGTCTCAAATCGTCAGAAATCGGTGGTGGTAAAAGGTCTCATAAACATGAGAGCTTTCTACCTACATTAATGGTCTCCATTTAAAACCTGGTAGGCCCGGAGAGTATGTTCACAGCGATCTCTAACTTGATGACCAATAATTAATTGTTAAATTAATTAATAATTCATTGTGCACAGGAACACCAAGAATCTCAATGTCCCTCCGTGCCCGTGACTTGCACAGAATGTGGGAGAAAGGACATACCTCGTTCTCAGGTGAGTTATGCTTCGAGAGGTTTTCTTCTTTCTGGTGTTCTGCTTTTTTTACACACTCCTCGAAATAATGATTCCAGATTTAAATTTGTTGTGCAACGCACGCGTAAATGTGTAAACGGGTTGTTACCAGCTAGCCCCTAGACAGTAACACTGGAATAAGACGTTTGAGACTTGATGTTGACTTCTATCTTTCTTACTTAGATACGTGCCCACATTGATCTGGTAAATGGAGACTGTGAAGAAATACAATCAAGTTGTCCATGGACGCAAATTGGATGCCGTGAGACTAAGGTATGCCAATACTTAACATTACTTAAGTTGGGAGGGGATTACATATTAAAGGAGCCAACGTTAAAAACAAATGACAATCAGGGTAGGTTTTTTCGTGAATGGTCAGCACACGTTAGGAGATGCCACGATTTTTCCTCTCCCTCTCCCCAGAGGTAGATCAGACTACTTGTTTGTAAACAAGAATGGTGCGTAGTGGGGGGTGGGAGAGTCGACTAGGGAATACTCATACTGAAGAGTCCTTAGATTGTGCAGGTAAGAGAAGAAAAGACGTCTCCAGAAAGCTCAAACCTGAGTGGTGATCAAGGTGGCATGAGCCACTATTGAATTCACTTGAAGTTTGATTGATTGTATTCTCCAAGTCAGCAATCATTCGGTAATCTGTGGGTGGGCTGCGTGTTTATTAACGATTCTCAGCCTTAATAAACTATGTCGTTTTCGTTTTCTTTAGACTATGAAACTGCAAGAAAGACGGAAGCATGAAGAGGACAATGCTTCCGGTCATCTGATGCTCCTTTTTCAAACCGTAATGCAGCTCTTCTCGATGGTTGGTAGGACCATGCGCGACTCTGGTCAATTGTCAATGAATGGCGTAAACCTACCAAAACAGAAAGATCTGGAACGCTATGCTAAACAAGTTGAGAATACGCTGAAAGAGAATGAAGACTTAAAATCAAAACTGGCACAACAAGAAGAAAGAATACGGCAACTGGAAAGTTCTAGACAGAATAGCTCAAACTCAGCATCGGCATTTGATTCAACGTTTGTCGAGGAGCTGTTACAGAGGATAACTACAGAAGAAGGAAAGACGGCCAATCTCGAGCTTTTGCTCGTTGAAGCAAACAGATTATGCGAAGAACTTCAGAGAAAGGTGTCTACCGTAGCCAGGCAACAGGAGTCTTCGAATGGAACAACTGATCGGCTACAAAGACAGTTCGAGTCCATGAGTCACTCACTAGCACTTCGTAATGTTATGCTGACAGATTTGGACGAATCTGTGAGGCAGCAGGAAGTCTCCAGTCACGATGGAATCTTGCTTTGGAAAATCACCGAGTTCGCTAAAAAACGCCAAGACGCCGTGTCCGGGCAACAGACATCATTTTACAGCCCGTGCTTCTTTACCAGTCGCTATGGATACAAGATGTGCGCGCGAATCTACTTGAATGGTGATGGTATTGGAAAAGGGACACACATCTCGGTATTCTTTGTTGTCATGCGTGGTGAGTACGATGCCTTACTCCGCTGGCCATTCAGACAGAAGGTAACGTTCATGCTGCTGGATCAGAATAACGTAGAACACGTGATCGACTCCTTCAGACCTGACCCAAACAGCTCATCCTTCCAGAGACCAAGAAGAGAAACAAACATCGCTAGTGGGTGCCCTACATTCTGTCCCTTGTCGGAATTAAACGATCATGCCTACGTCCGAGACGATACTTTGTTTCTGAAGGTCATAGTCGATACGACGGATTTATAACATCAAGAGAGACTGAGCTAGCTCATTCTCTCTTGATAACACCAATTCAGAAACACTTCCAGGTTTTCAGACTCTTGAGGGAGCGAAGCGAGCGGGAGACTGGGGAGAGAAAGGACGGGGAACGCAGGCAACTTATAAACCTCGATCTGGCGTGCATTATCGTATGCGGATATAATATACTTTGTCTGTGTTATAGTCTTGTAGTCTCACCTGGTTATGTTCAGACACAGATAGTTTTTGTGTGGCAACAAACCATTAGGAGTTTTTTTCGAATCTCAGACGTAATTTATTTAGAAAAAATATTTTTACGAACAAACAAGAAGGAAACAGAAAAAAATTAAGAAATACAGTCGAATCTCTACTAACGACCACCTCTCTACAACGGCCACTTTTTTTGACGGACAGTCCATACATTGGGTCTTGTTTAAATAGAGGATATTACACGGTGGCGCGAAGATATGAAATTTATGTTCGAGTGGCAAAACAACATTTTACGAACGAGCGCAGCGAGTGAGTAAAATATTGTTTTTGCCACGAGAAAATAAAATTCATATCTTCAAGCCGCCGTGTTAATGTCCTTTTTATTATGTAGAGAAAAAGACATCGATAAAATAAAAGAGGGAAATTACCAAAATTACGTCATCGATAAACTCACGTCTGAGATTATGGAAAATATACCACTCGAGTCCCGGATGTAGTTTTTATGAATTTTACGAGTGGTATATTTTCCAGTAAAATAGTCGTGTCTATATAATAAAACTCTATAAAACGGTCAATTTCTTCTGTCCCTAAGGTGACCGTTGTAGAGAGGTTCAACTATAGAAGAAACAAACAGAAGTTGACGATGACTTGTGACAACAACAATTAATAGTGAACTATGAGACGGTATAGGCAACTTTGGATTTGAAACGATTTAGAGAATTCTTTTTTTTACAATTTGAAGACTTATATCGTGAGTGGACAAGCAACTTGAAAGCCATACTTACAGTGAGCTATGGTAATCGAGTCGTATATGTTCACCGAGAAGAGTATATTTATATATTTAATCTGTTAGACTAGAAGGCATATTTAATAGAGGGGGTTTTTCTCCGGGTGCTCCGGTTTCCCCCTGATAGTTCAAATTAAGTCTTTAAGGAATTGCTACCGATGAAAAGGAAAAGGAAAAAGTTAATTATTGGATATTCAAACTGGAATTGTCCTAGTAATAAATGAGGAGACTCGATAAAGTGAAAAACACAGTGAAACTTGTGAAATTGTCGCCCTGGGTAAAGAGTATAAGATTAAAGTTACTGAATTGCCAATACTAAAGACAAGCAACGAATATTCATTAAAATACTAACTTGTTTACAATTGTTGGAAGAAAGTGATCGGAAACTCTTCCAAAAAATTAAGCACCAACAGCTGTCACCCTCTACACTCCATGCTACCACGAGTAAAGGGATCATGGACAAGGCTAAGGTGTAATAGTAGCCTGCTACCTAAAGTTAATACCGAACGCAATGAAAATAGTTTCATAAATAGGTTAAATTTTAAGTATAAACTAGCAATCTAACTCACTTTTACTATAATACTTTGAAATTGCAAGCGCTTGTTTGTTAGTAACTTATTCTTCATCATTGTAACTTTTGATATGTATTTTTATCAAATGAACACTGAATGAATTAAGGACATTATTATTATCATTATTATTTAGATAGTTTTATTTTTTTATTAACTTTTTGATGCTTTTTATAACTGTTATTAGTAGTTTTTAGATAGTCATTTTACGACAATTCTCTTTCGTACACAAGAAGAATGTACATAGGGTATATATTTTAATATTCATATTCTTGAATCTGTAAATAGTCTATTTTTTTGATTCTGTGAATAAAGTTATTTTATTTTAAAAAAAAATTATTATTATTATTATTATCATTATTAATGGTCTCTGGTGCGATATTAACTAGCCGTTCAAACCCAGAAAAGACGAACTTTTCGTCTCTAACATAAATAAAAAAATTGATATTTCTAGACATAGTGAGAATGCAATAAACTGCAAAAAATAATTTGGAGTGTTTTGTTCGTTTACGGACTCTGAAAAAAATCTCCGCCAACGGAACGCTTAAGTCCAGGCCGATTCCAGTAATTTCATCACTAACTGCATCACTAGGGAGCGTAATAAGCATTTTTGATTGACTCACGTCAACCACTTTATAAATGCCTTGATGCTACCAATTTTGTACCCCAGAGACTTTTCACTCTTAAATTTTGGCAAAACCACTGCCCAAGAATGAAAAAAGTCCAATTCTGGTCGACGCGCGTCGCTCAAAAATTAACCTCCCTATTAACCTCCCAAAAACCTAAGCTGATGCCCGTCTCATAGTCCATAGAACCTCAAATAACCTCCCTTGAGCGGACAGTAAAACAATTTAAGTCTCAAATGCGTTACGAAAACGTTGTCTAAAGATCGCACAGTTTGATGAGTACGGGATAATAAATTAACGCCTTCTCAAATAAGCACTCAATTCTCCCCTCTCCTTCAAAAGCTCTTTTTTTTCTCAATCAATGAGGACCGAGGAAAATCAATGAGGAATTAGGTATGTAGGTTTTGCGTCGTGTACGTGTAGAGGTGATAAATACCTCAAAGACTGATAAATGCCCAGTTTTGTGGAACCAAGGACTCGTGAAGTTCAGAGTTCTTGGTAAACGAACAAAACTTAAACACAAGAAAATAGAGAAAAATACTACAGTAGTTTATTACTGTATTAATATTAAGATCTATTCTATCCATATATTAAGGCCACATAAGTAAAATAACATAAAGCTTAAAGATTGTAATCCACAGACTAAAGAAAACAATAACATCGTCACATTATTGTCAACAGAAAGCTAAATGCAAAATTTGTTGATTACGTAGACCTTGTTGTTGCACTATCGACTGGGTAAAGATTTATCTCGTAGATAGCACTATCCATCCACCTTTTGAACCAGTGGTACCAGATTAACGTTGACTTCAGCTTTATACCATCTTCATTTCTGGGAAATCTGCTCGCACATTTAAGCCTTTTTTACCATTACATTATATCATTAGGTCTTGTACGCAACACTGAAGTCTCAACGGCGTAGAACTCTTGTCTGACAATGAAAATGTCCTTCTTGCTAGAGTAAAAATATGCTGGTACAAAGTGAGACAGACACCACTTTTTATTGTTTGGTGGAAACGGACTATGTTGCAAAGCTACGCACTTGTATGATAAACATGTTTTATGACTTGAAAAATCTGTCCAAATTTTGCTCAGGGGCTGAAGTAAGAGGTTAAAGGTTTTCTTAATATCTTCGCCAGGGGATGCAAAGGTCCACGGATAACTGGCTGCAAATTGGTTTTATTTCAGCTTGTTGTAGCCGTTGATTGTTGTTGTTGATGATGATGATGATGATGATGATGATGATGACGACGACGATATTAGGGGAAATGACAAAAAGAGTTATTCCAGCTTTAAAGTCGTTAGATGTGAGATACGGAAGAATATTTATATGTCATGGATAGTGTATGGCAGAATAAAATATAATCCAGACAACCTAGGAAAGGAATAAAAAAATGCAATTTAATTATTCAAAGCCGGCAACTATCTACTTCTCTTTCTCGCCAAAATCTAAACAATGCCAAAAGAACTCTATAAATAATTGTTTTAAAACGTAAGTAAGTCTGGTTTATTAATAAAATCGTCTCGCTTAGAAATAAGCGAATTGCGAAATTATTTTACAAAGATATAGATATTAATAAAAAAAAAGAATTAATTTAAACTAATTACATCGTGTTCAAAACCTTGTATAGTTTGTGAACGATGTAACAGATTTGAAGTAGTGGAAAGCTGTTAAAAGAAGACGTTATTCCTGCCGTAATGTTGTCGAAAATGCCAATTATCATGTCAAACGTTCTACTACGACTCCAAGGAGAAGGAGGGGGGGGGGGGGCTGGTCAAATGCAGAAAATGACACCCTATTCAAGGGAAAAACAAAAACTAAGAATTCAATCAATGGCAACACATAAACCTTCATTCATTAAATCGATTTCCAAATACACTAAGGCATAGCTCAATTTTGCCAGATTATTAATTGCATCTCATGTAGCTGGGTATTTAAGCACTTGAATTTTAGCTGGCACAATTTAGGTACCCTAACTAAGGATCACAAAGGGAACAACAGAATGCCGACAAGAGCAAAAATGATGACACCTAATTAAGGATCAAGACCCTCAAAAAACGTATCCTATCTGGTGGCACATACCCCATATATTGAACTACCCCTGGGCTACACCTCTACTGCCATCAACATGGATTGGGTGCTACATTGTATTATGATGACAAAGATATTCAGTCTCCCTGGTATGATGGCTGTACTAAGCATCAGGTAGTTGTGTCACTACCAGACAGACTGATAGTAGCGTCAGTCGTATAATGAAAAAGTGATGCGCAAAAAAAAGTGTGGGGATGAGGAAAGAGAGAATGGTCTCTACTCCCATATTTTCCCTGGCACCACTCCCTTCTCCAGATCAGTGTGTCCTATCATATTTTCGCGTAGCTTGTTTTATTTTTGCGATGTCTTTACTAAATGTATCTAAGAGCCTGACACAGGCTAAGAATCAACACAACCTTTGTGTTACATTCCAAGCCTGCTAGCCTGCAGTGCAGGCGTATTTTAGGCAGGTGAAAGCTTGGTATGTTTGTGTTGTTGTACCCGCCATCTTTGATTTTATTACAGAGGAAGATTAGGAAAAGTAGAATTTTTGTAGCCTTACATTTGAAGTAAGTACCGGTCAATGTCTTTTTTCACTCGAAATGTCCTGAAATGCTGGTAACTTATGGGAACCAGGAAATATTGCCTCTTTCATTAAACTTTCTTTCAAGGGCTATTGCCAAAATCCTAAACATTTCGCTCCCCAAAATGTCACAATTTCTTAAACTAGGTGGGGGTGGGGGGGAGGGGGGAAGGCTACCTCACTTTTCCCTTGCACGCCTTTAAGAGTACCACTGGAGCAGGAGGTGTCCTTGGTGGTGTCCAGATCTAGGACGGGGGCCTAGGAGGACTATGCACCCACCTTATTTTTTGGGCCAAACTGAAGCGTATAATGCCAAGAAAAGAATATTTGTAAGTTTGGGTCCCCTTCTTCACTTATGGTCTAGATTAGCTGGCCCCCACTTTCTTCAAGATCTGAATCTGAGTTAAGCAGTAACCAGTGTTCTTACTAGACCGTGGCATTGCGGCACATTCACAATTTTTCAGGAAATGCCACACTTTTATGTATATAATTAGCCCAAGGGGTCCCAAGGGTGCAAAGAAGGAAAAAAAACCTATTACAAAACGTACATAGCCATATGCACACATACATACATTTCCTAATCATATAAACCAAAATCTAATTGGTTATGGCATCTTTAGAAAACACCCATCATTATCTAATACTCAGACCTGTAAAAACATTGAGTTAACTGTATCTAAAAATTGTGACTCGCTTTTCTCCCTTATGACCCTCTTTTAGATTCTCTATATGGGTCTTGTGGACCCCAGTGTATGAATCCTGGTAAGAACACTAATTATTATAACACATAAAATTTGTGTCTAGATTTCTTTTGCATTTTGCATGCTTACACAGGATTAGCCTGTTCAGATAGTGCAGGGCAGTGTGAAGGCAAAGAATGGGGAAAAAATAAGGGGGAAGGGAGGGAGAGAGAGCCAGGAGAGAAATGCTTGTGTGTGTGTGTCCCCTTCCACCTCACAAAGTATAAGATACAAATTTATGTTTATCTTCATTGAATATACTATAATAACATGTAAAATCATTAGAGAATGACCAATTCAAGGACATCACATGGTTGAAATTCTGAAGAATGAAATAAATGTCCCCTTTAAACAAATGCCTGCCTTGAATTTGCATCCCCCCCCCACCCACTTTGAAGAAAATACAAATGTCATAAAAATATTTGGTAGCTACCCCCTTGGTTTCTAATATACCTACCAAAAATAATGCAAATGATGTCATAAAACCTTCTTTCGTAAGTTCCCAAGGGCCACCATACTCTTCTTCATCAATCTTTTGGAAGTTTGTGAAGTAAATGTATAGAATACCAGCATTTAGCAAAGCAAACCTGTAAACAGAAATTCAAGGATAATTGTAATAAAGTTACAAGAATAACTGATATGACTGCAAGGAAACCTGTACAGTTTGTAAGAAAGTTAAAATATGGGTGCAACAGGGCTTGAAAAATGGTCCTTTTTTGTTATCTCTTGGGCAAGTTGTTTTTAAGTTCACTGGCACGAATGGGCCAAGCAAGTATGCATAAACAGTTGACTGTGTACCTGGAAATCCTATTTTCCAGCCTGACCTGTTATCAATAAAATTATAGACACATGCACACTGCTGATAAGCTACAGGTATCTCAAAAACCTATATTATATGACTATGATAAGGACATTTAACTCATTGTCACAAGACAGGTTGTTCATATGGACATGCTAACAAAAGCAAGGTTTCTGCAACCGTGAAGGCCTATAAATGCAAAGCATATACAGCATGTGGAATACTTACAGTCCAATAGCAAGGATTCCTTTCAGTGGAAGAATACCCCAAATGATGCCTAACAAAATTGCTAAAACTTGTCTAAACCAGTAAATTACATCAAGAAATTCATCCTAGTAAAAAAAGAGAAACAAGTAATCAACAGTTGCCACAAAGAACTTGAATCTCTGAGTGCAATATTCTATGCACGTGACATTTGCAAAGTATAGACGGCAGATTGTAGACTGTAAATTGATTATGAGTGACACTGAAAATACATGTATGACATCATCTGCAACATAATCTTGTTCCCAGGCTTCTTAGAAAACGAGAAAGTAGGCTGACAGCAAGGTTGGTATTAGCCCGAGAAAACAGCTGACATTTAGTGATGCCACCAAGGTGGTTCCCCGTGAAATGATGTCTGAGGAATGAGTGCAGAAATTCAACACTGATGAGACACGGCACTACCCACATCTGGATAATGTTTCTGATTGGCTGAAGAATTGCCTCAACTGGAAACAGGTCTTGAGCAGCCAAATGATCCACACCATGTATCCCCAGCCCTCTCTCCCTCCCCTCGAAGCCCTCTCCCCAGGTGCTGTACACTACTAAAGCCAGGCTGGGCTCCTGCCTTGTAGCCATGTGATCATTTTTGTTTTAAAATTAGTCACAAAGACCTCATCCTAAAGGTCCGTGAGTCAGTGAAACGTAGGAAAAGATTTACTTAAGGTAGATTATTGTATAATAGCAAATAGGAAATAGCGTATGATTTGATAAATCGTTAGGTGGGAAAGTGCCGTCGATTAGGGATTTCAACTGTGTTCACAATTCTCCCCCACCTCCTATCTGCAAAGGGATCTCCAAGCAAAAAAATTACCTACGACTAAGTGACTGGACACACTGTGTGTGGAATTGCAGATCTCCTATCCATTTACATAGAAAGAGAGATCTGTTCTGGTCGTAACAAACGACAGATCTTCCCAGACTTGTGGTTTCCTGCTTTTAAGTAAAATTAATTATTTGATGACTATTATACAATACGAATGCTGTTTAACTAACAACGAGAATCTACGATCATTAGCATATTATCAAAAAAGGTGTTAACGAGCCTCAGGCAGATAAGCTAGTCTTACAAGCTGACCTTTACGGCCGTCATAAATCTTTTAAAACGACAAATCAAACTCCTATCAGAATTAGTTCGTTCGAGAACTCTCGCTCGCGTGCATGCTTAAGCCTACCTTGTCCTCCCAAGTAGAATTTGACATTAAAGCTTTTTTCAAAGTAGCGGAAACTGATCCATTTGCTGCGGCAAGATCTTTTGAGTCTTTCTTAACTTTCTGTCCAGACATACTACAATATAAAAAGCTATGACTCAAAGAATATTTACAACAAAATCACATGTGATCTTAAATTTCTCGTAAAATTCTATGTCCACGAAAACTACCGCTGGCCGGTAATAACTGTCCCACAATGCACCAGGTCCCTTCTTTCTCGTTCTCTTTCCTTGTGTTGTGGTATAGTTTTGGTAGTAAGGTCAGTGTCCTGAAATAATCCATCGTTTTTCTTGTGCATCATTTAGTTTCCTTCTAAATTTTTTAGTTACTTTAATTAGAGGGTAATTATAATACGCAGTAGATAACTTATTTTGTCCAAAAACTGTCGTGGCCAGTTTTTTTGACCCACTCTAATCTCAAACAGTGCAATCGTAGGAGTTATTTCTAAAACTAGAAATGAAGAAATATAGTTAGCCAGTTAAAATGGTACAATCCAACTTTATAAATCGTAAATTACTTATCACGTCCAGTGTTTTGAGACCGGTGCTTGAGCCAATCATTGTGATATGGATGCCTTCCCTTGTGTCAACTTCTCGATATGACTTTTACGAATAAACTTAAGCTGCTAAATGTTTTATCTGTTGTCTTAAATGTTTTGAGTGTCTTTACATTTGAGCAGCTTGTATCTTAACTAAAATGAAGGACATGTTTAAATACACATTGTTTTTGTTTAACTTGAACAATGTGTGTTTAATCTTGTTCTTAATTTTCATAGACTGTTCACGTGAAGTTGTCTTAAGCTGAGATCTGGTGTCCTTCTTCCCTTTTTGTTTGGGGGACGATGGGAAGGACCACTGTGGGTTTTTCTTGGTCTCTCCCGTGAGCTTAGCACATGTTTTTCTTGTTCTATGACATCAAGCCTCTACACTACAGCTCTCTAGTGACTGCCTTATTTACTGGATTAAACATTACAGCCCTCTGTTAAACCCTGCATATGGAAGTAAGATTACCGATGAATGCTGAAGAAGAATGCACATTTATTCTAGGATCATAAGAAAAAGCAATTGGTACAACTTGATAATCCACACCATCCAGACAATTACAAGTACATTACATTGTACATCTCATCAAAAAAGCAAGACTTTAGAACTTAAGTCACTTCTCCATTTTACATAATATTGACAGATGATTTAGCCTTATCGCTGACATTATTCTAAAAATGCGATTGAAAAATATACACTGTCCATGAAGAAACATCATCCTTCATTAAATGCCACAACAGAAACACATAAAATTATTTTAATGTAAGCAAGTAAATTAGCAGTAGATGTTGACCATGCCATTGCTTTTGGTGCTTGGTTTATGTCATCCTACATATAGCAGAGGGAAATGCAGTTGGGGTTTACCCAAGGATGCAGAATTGTTACCTTGGATGGGGGTGTCTTTAAAAGAAACTGGCAATGTTACAATCAATTCTCACTATCATGGGATAATGCAGCTTGCACCTTGGTGGGCAGTTGCTTTTAGACTTGGCCAACACACTGTAGTACTAAACAAATGAGGGAGACTGTGTTTTTGTAGAAAGTTGTAAAGTTGCACATCAATCAATCAATCGGTAAACTTTATTTATCCATGATAGTAATTAAAGCTGAAAAGCTTATGGGGCTGTACCAAGAAATTAAAATAGAATAATAAGAAGAAATACAATACTACTATTATTATCATTGTACAGTAACTAATTTTACATACTAAAATGTTACAAGTAATTAAAAATTAGCATTGACGTATTTACATCGCAAATTATAACTACGTTCAAAATTTCCTGACCCTTTCTCTACCAGCGTCTTGATCTGTTACTCAGATAAGTACAAAATTTGTTCACAAGTATACAAAATCTATGTTGTATGGTGGAAGGCAATTCTGCAGAAAAGTTCAGTATTCTTAAGATCTGAGGATTGCCAAACCTTCTTCGTGAAGGCTTGATTCCTATTCCATTTGCAAGCAGTGCTTATCACCTTTGTCCCTGTTCAAACATGAGACTCTGTTTAACTCTAGCGTTCAGCTTTGTAAGATCTGAGGATTGCCAAGCCTTCTTCATGAAGACTTGACTCCTGTGCCACTTGCAAACAGTGCTAATCGTCTTTGTCCCCGCTCAAACATGAAACTCTGTTTAACTTGATTGTAAGTGACTAACAAGCCGACTTCTTTTGACTATGTTACTTGTAGGTTTTAAACCACAACCTTGCCACCATGGCTCCAAAACACAACAATATGATACACAACAACCACTTCCACAAACAGTGGCAAAACTATGTGAGGACATGGTTTGATCAGCCTGGACGTAAGAAGCGCAGACGTGTTGCTCGTCAGAAGAGGGCTCTTCAGATTGCTCCCCGACCTGTGGCTGGTGCTCTTCGACCCATTGTCCGCTGTCCAAGGAAGTTTATGTTGTGGTTCTATTCCCGACCTGCTCCGAAATGAGACCTCCTCGACTTCCATCCGAGGACAAAATAACAGAATGGAACTCAAGACATGTACACTGTACACTATTGTCTAACCTGTATAGAACGTATGCTGAAGTCACAGAAATAGATACTGTAAACTTCCACTTCATCTTGTACGCCCTCCCCCCCCCCTCCCTTAGTTATAGGCCAATCTAGCTGTGAACAAAAATAAATACACCTGGTTAACCCCTTACCCCCTCTAAAATGTATCGACATGAAACTATGTACTGTTTAAAAAATGAGCAGGAGTGTATTATGTTTGGGGGCACAAATTTTGGCCAAGTTTGCCTCATAACTTTGAGCATTTTTTAGCATGATCGATTATCACTCAGCTTAATATTTTCACAATCAATGAACAGCAATTATGGATGATCAGCATAGGACTCTTGAAAATTTCCAGAATAATATTATCCCAAGGATAATTAAGTGAAGTTATCTATCAAGGAATAATTATCTTGAGCAGGGATGTAGCTAATAGTCAGTTGCTGGCTAATTTCACTGGCTGAATATATGGAGTACTGTTGAAGGTGCACAAATTGTGTAAAAGAGCTGGCTTGGCTTATTGAAAAACCTACTTACCACAAAGTAACCATCTATCCCACTAATAATGTCAGTTAATTTCTACATTGATTAGTATTCTTTTTTCAGAGGTATTTGCTTCTGGTTTGTCCTGTTTTGTTATCCTTATTTATTCTTTTTTTGTCTTGAGGTTAATTTTTTGGATTGAGATCACAGATCTGTCAAATGTTTACATGACACTGTGCTTTCATTTCAGGCTGCTGGTATCTCGTGCAAAGTTGCTCCCACAATCGGTATTGCAGTTGATCATAGGAGGAAAAACAGATCGGCTGAATCTCTTCAAGCTAATGTTCAAAGGTTGAAGGAGTACAAGAGCAAACTGATTGTCTTCCCAAAGAAGGCTAGCAAGCCCAAGCAGGGAGACAGTGAGGTATGTATTGGAGTGTAATCTCAACAGCCATGGGGTTAAAACGCCCTTAAACATGTTGTCAAAGTCAACCACTGCCCAGTTTACTCAGCTGGAGGAGTTCTGGTCTACTGCGGGCAAGTTCATGTTGGAGAGGCTGTGATTTAAAGGGACCGTGTCACAATTGTCTATTTTCATCTTGTTAATAATGCCAAGTAGGTGTTCTTATTCGCCATGGAACTTGAGAAGGTATTTATAAAATCACAGCTTTGTGGCTAACAAATATGTCTCCTAAGTAGTACATGTATAATCAATCGTTACAACCTCGGAAAGGAATTTTGAAAACTGTTAGGCTAACAAATTTTCATAAACCACAATTACAATCTGTTTCAATCTTGCTCCAAGTTTGTCTGTCCATTCCTCCTTTTGTATTTGCTGTGTTAGTTAGACCTTCTTTTCATATTTTGAGCTGTTATTTTTGTGTTGTACTCAGTTTAGTGGCAGTTCCCCCTGTTTGAAAATTTAATTAATTGTGACACAGCTCCTTTAAGAACTTTTCTCAGTTGATGGTAGCATTGGGCAGTGATGTTGGCCTTGTCTCCTTCAGACCACTTTTCAATTTGAAGAAGGCTTAAAAGAACCCAGACTGCTGTTCTATTTGAATCTCATTCAAATTGTGTTGTATTTACTTACTTAAAAGAGTGTTCAGATCTGGGTAGTGCTTCTGATTTGTCATCCGACAAAGGAAATTTGCTTAAATCAATCAGAAGCTCTACCCAAGTCTGGGCTAGTGCTTCTGATTAGTCATGTTGTGAGGCAAATAATATTTGCTTCAACCAATCAAAAGCACTACCCAGATTTGGGTAGCGGCATGTCATCAGTGTAGAATTTCTGCTGAGGCACTTTATCAGGAACAGAGCCTATTCAAGGCTGTGAATGACTCGGAAGTGAGCAGATGGAAGTAATCTGTCATTGTTCTTTGCTTAACTTTAGCCTGCTGAACTTTCCAATGCCAAGCAACTGCAAGGTCCTGTTATACCCATCCAACCATCACGCCTGCCAATCAAGGCTCGCAAGATCACAGATGAGGAAAAGAATACCAGTGTGTTCAAGAGCATGCGTATTGCACGTGCTAATGCCAGGCTGATTGGCATCAGAGAGAAGAGAGCAAAGGAACAAGCCGAGCAAGATGCTATTAAGAAGAAATAATCTGTGAATAAATGTTGAACTTCATTTGTTGCAAACTCTTGTCAACATTACTGACTACAGTTCGACTCTCGCTAAGCTACTATCGTTGTCAAAAGTGTTGGGAAGGCTCCACTCTTTACCTCTTAGCTACTGTTAAGTTGTATAACCTTCTCAACTAATTTTGTCCGGGATTGTAGGTTGTTCACTTCCTGAAAATGTTGTTTTACTGCTCTGTCAAAGACATTAGCATTGAAAGAGTTCTAATACTCAGAGCAAATAAGTGTGACATTTTGTTAGATATTATTTTTTGTTAGATTCTCTTGATCTTCATCAGCAATGTGAACTTATCAGTCGAGTACAGGTGACTTTGTTGTAAGTTATGTAGTCTCAAGAGATAGTTCACATCAATGATTAAGGTCAAGGAGTTTGAACAAAATATTTGAATGTCAAATTATTTAGCTGTGAGTTTTGGAATCCTGTCAATGCTAGATTGTTGTTAGTTCTCTATTATTCACGTGATTGTCTAGACAGTGTAGGTTGATCATAGAGGGGCACAAACTTCACAGCCTTAAGGCAAAGGCATCCCCATCCCATGTAACTTTTGATCTTCCAAATTTTCGTTTGCTGTAAGGAAACAGGAGCCTCCCTAACTCAGTGATCGGCCACAACAGTTCCACAGAAAACAAGACAACTATGACCAATCTTCCTCAGAGTTTTGAGTCAGTTCTTGCTTCACTTTCCTCAACTACTCTTTGTTTGTCTCAGAAAGCTTTTATCTATGAATAAACAATAAATTATATTAACTTTATTCTTTATTTACACAACCAAAGTAGTTCCAGCAAGAGTAACTTGTAGGTTCAGAGAACAAAACAACAACAAAGATTAAAAGGTGATGTTACACAGCAAGATTCCCAACAATGATTTTGAGAGCAACAGAGTTGGAAGTTCTTGAAGATCAATTTTCTGCAGAATTTTTGCATTGCAAGTTTTTGGTCCAGGTTCAAAAACTTCCAACGCCATGTTGCGCTAAAAGTCTTCGTTGCAACAGTTCAGGGTAACAGGACCCTTACATCTTTCTAGCGACAATAATTTATTCCACCGTTCTTCTGGCTTTCTATATAACCTCTTGGGCTGAACTATGTTCACCCAGTACTGCATAGCTTTTGTGCTCGCCGCCTGGCACGAACACCATACCAGATGTGGCTTTTCGTGACGGAGCGAAGCTATGTCAAGCTAATTGGACAGTCACATATTGGATACAGTGCTGTCAACTCTCCCGAATAATCCGGGAGACTCCCGATTTTGAACCGTTTCTCCTGGTCTCCAGATTAGAGTCTGAAATGTCCCGGATGATTGTCAAAGTTTGCAATTTCTTGTAGATTCGATATTATGACAGTGAAATTTCCAATTTTTTTTCGTTGTCTGAGCTATTTATAAACTTTCAACATTGAACGTTTCCTCAGAAACTCCGGTATGCCACTGTAATATGAGCAATAATGTGATTGGTGGGAAGTAAACCAATCAGGTCAAATGTTACAATTGCAACCACAGGGTGCTTCCAGTAAGCTGCTGTTGTGATTCCGGGCACCCTGTGTTCCAACAACATCTTTTTCGCGTGTTTTTGTGCACAAATGACGTCATGTTTCGTGCATTATGATGTGATCTATCATGACTTCCCTGTCAATTCTCAATATCTGATGATGTGGGGGAGTTGACAGCCCTGTGGATAGGTGTTCATACTATACCAGTATAGCTTTTTGTGTGGGTACAAAGAGTTATCCAGTATAATAGGAACATAGGTTTCGTCTTAAAGCAGGGGCACCCAACGAGAATATAGTTCAAAACCACTTAAACAGTATTGTTGAACATATTTCAGTATTTAAACGGTAGATATAGGCATATTTTTATCCCCTAAAAATTTTTCATCTCTTCGGATTTCCTAGTGATCCGAAAATTATAGGGATCAAAGCTTACCTTTTCGAAGATTTCAGCCAGAAAAAAGGCTCCCGAAAATTCTAGGTGACCTTTTTAGAGTAAAAATCCGTTAAAAAAGGGCAATTATACCATTTTTCAGATGTTCGAAAATCCTAGGAGAGGCAGGCGAGCAAGAAATTTTACAACAAATGTTCCGAAAATTTTAGGTCTCAAATCGTCTTCCGGACAGATATTTTCCGATAATTGACGTTGGGTGCCCCTGTTAAAGGGGCTATGACACGAGGTTATTTTCCGTGCTAAAGTCGTTATTTGATGCCCTTTCCCATTCGCAAAATGCGCTTGTAGAGTTATGAAGAAGAAACCAGACAAATTTCATCAGTGAGCACTAACCATAATCACTTATATAAAGGTGATTTTTGCAGCCATAGCATTCAAAATTGAAAATGTTTGCCCAACTTTTCCATGTTCATGCTTGACATCCGTTGAAACAGACGGCCGGAAACAGTTTCACAAACCTTTTTTTTTTGGCCTTAATATTAATAGTCTTAAATTACAAAACTGGACTTATGTTTGGAATTCAATCCTGAGGTGAAGACAGACTTTAGCGTTTTAAAAAGATAAGAAAATTAGCGCGGCGTAGTCCCTTTAAGGTAAAGCTACACGGGACGATTTGCAACGACGATTTTTAGCGGAACACAGCGTTGCAATGTTGGAACAATGTTGCAGCTATTCGAAACAATGTTGCAACAATACTGCAACGTTGCATTGCGCTAAAAATCGTCGTTGCGAATCGTCCCGTGTAACATCACCTCTAAGGAGTTTTTATTTAGAAAGAAAAAGTGATGTAGAAAAACAGTGAATGCGTGGACAGAAAGGCAAGCCATCTGTCAAAAGCTTACATATTTTATCCTTAATTGCGAAAAGTTTTAAAATCATTCTGTTTTAGGTTTTGCGCCAGATTCGGCTTCTTCGTCGGATTCTTTGAGTTCCTCTATAGTCTGTTCGTGGTCACCATCATCAAACCCAACGGCATCATCTTCATCGAGTTCCTCCTCCGGCCCAGGGTCGGCAATACACAGCATATAAATAACAAAGGAAAACACAAGCAACGGGAAGCCAAACATGACTAATGCAGCAATCGGTTGGGTCGTCCAGATCTCCTATATTAGGAAAATGAAACACATAACGTCATTTTTGTTCAGGAACTCACGGGTAAATCCAGGTTTTTGTAAGAGGCGGTGGCCGTACTAATCGAATCCACTCTGGACAAGAATTCATCGGTTTATTTGATCTACCATGATTCAAGTGATCTCGGTTCACTGATCCTATCCGGATCATCTCAAATAAGGAACGCACCCCAAAAATTCGACCGGTACCTTGTGAATGTAGCCTAAATCTATTTGCTTTTTTTGCCGTTCTCGTTGATGTCGCCGTCGTCGTTGCTTAAGCTACCTCGTAACTAAGAAAAACAACGGTCTACTGTTTTTCGGATGTTGTTTTGTTTGTATTGTGACTCAAATACTGAACGTACGAATTGCCAAAAATTAACAAAACTTCGTTTGCAAAGAGAAAAACCAGACAGGACCAAATTTAAAACTCAGTTCCCGTAAAAAGCAAGAAATGCCTATTCACAAAATCATCTCTTGGCCAGCAAAAACAAAGTGTCACCCGCTGTATCTATCCAGCTAAGTGATCTGGAAATTCCCGCCAGAAGTTTAAAGGGATACCAATTCACTTTTAGTTTACTAGTGACTTTCTCACTTCCGGCCTCGTCGTTGTTTCGTAAGCACTCTACTTCACGAAGCAAACTCAGTTTAAAGTAATAAGTAGTTTTACATCTTATTCACTTACATAAATTGTCTTTATTAGGTCCCAAACTCCCTGCAAGAAATTAAAAATTCACAACCATTTAAAAACATCACAATGACGCTTTGACAAAAAGAAAAAGAAGAACTTAAACCTTTCATGTCTGAGGTAAACTTACTCTGTACAACCTCTGGAAATAGGAATCTCCGCCATATCCCTAAAAAGATATTTACAAAAAGAAAAATAAAAATTTAAGCCCCCAAATTTGCCTACCCTTTCTATACCTGAAGCCTGAAAAAGGTAGCCCTTTCGGGCGGGACCTTTCTCTACAGGTTATTTTGGGAGTAACCCCCGGGCTTCACGGTCATCGCTGTCATGGTCGTTAACCCCTTCTAATATACATCATACCTTTGCACGCCCCTCCAACACATCCTCAAGGAAGGACACAAGTTGTTCTTCTGTGAATTCATCTTTGATTTCTGAATACTGCTTTAAATAATAAACTTGATCTGTAGTGTTGTATGCCATAAGATAAGGTGCAGGTAGTGAACTGAGAAAAAAAATTGATTTGAGTGGAGTTAAGTTCATGAACACTGGCTTAGCGAAGGCCTTTGTAGTGTTTTAATACTACTTCGTAAGGAAGTTCATTTTAACAATTTTAAAAGGAAGAAAAAATGTTATTGCCACTCTTCGTCCTGAGAATTAATATGTTAAATACCAGTCAGTTATAACTTTACTTTCTCTCAACAGTTTTTTTAAGTCCCAAAGGTGACCAACATCAATGTTCTCCTTAAGCTACGTGCAAACGAACGCAACAACCCCCAACATTGTTGGGCCAACAATGTTAGGAGTTGCTGCATCCGTGTTGGCAGTGGTGTGCAAACGGATGCAACAACTCCCAACAATGTTGGGACCTGCAGTGCATCATGGGAAGGATACAGCCAATAAGTCTTTGTAAACCATGTGTAATGTGCCTATGTGACCCTAACAATATTGGAAGAGCTGTGCAAACGGATCCAACATTGTTGAGCGATGCTTCGACGATCACTGAACAAAAGAAATGTTGGGAGTTGTTGACTCAAAAGTTTGACCGCTTCATACTCTGCGCAGCAAATCCCAACAACGCAAAACAACATGCAACAGGGTGTGCAAACGGCTGCAACTTGTAACATCCAACAATAAATGTTGCTTCCCTTTGCAGGGGCTTAACAATAAAAATTATCATTATTTAATTCAGAGATCCAGGTTATGAGAATCAATAAAATGATCATCCTAAAGTAAAATGGTTTCACCTCTTCTCAAATTCTCTCAACTAATTCTTAAAGGAAATGTATTAAGATCACCGTTGAAAATTTGTTTGTGGATTTGGGAATATTACATATTAAATACAGGTTTCATTATGTTTATTGCCAGCCATTTTATGCAGGCCGGCGATGATAATTACAAGTGATTCAATCATTTGCTTTTGTTACCTCATCATAATGTTGGATGCTATACTGTCTCCCAACATCCAACCAAACTGAAAGAATCTGAAACAAAAATTCAGCAGGTTTACCGAGGATCACCGAGTAGTAAATGTAAGATTACAATAATTTGACACCAGATGTCGCAACATTCTAATCTTATTTCAAGATGGGAAAAGGGTGAAAGGGGAGGGAGGAGGAGATCTTCATCACTGTACATCTGCATTTTCAGGTGGTCTAAGGTCTTCATTTTCAGAGGTCCTCATTTTCACAACAACCACAGACCAAGCTTTCTGTAAGCATTGCTGCAAATGTTATCACAAAGTTGGTTCCAACTGCGATTATGAGTAAATCTTAGTTGTAACATTACTGATGTTGTGCACTGAGCAAAGTCCTATCGATGCAACAGGTCTATTGAACATAGTACTTTTAATTATTAAATGTGCTTACCTGTGGAATTTTTCCCTTTCATTAATTGCAACATTCTTAACAACTTCGCTCACCCTAAAAAATTAGTTAAAAGGCAAGTTAACATTCAAGTCGCAGTATATTAAAGTGCATTGAAAATGATGCGTTAGTTGTTCACAACAGTCTTGCAAAATATAGAGCGTTTTCACATCACGTTATGGTGGCCATATTGGCATTCCAAAACAATGAAACGACAGCCATGCATGTTAGTGTACCAAGAATATCCTGTGCGAGTTTAACTGTTTTCTTTAATATGTAAACGCTTTCTTTCGTTCCAATAAATTGACATTGAAGCTGGCCATGTGGGTGAAAACCATCTATTGAAAATAATGCCCATATACTGAGGACCAAACAAATAGATATACGTGATAGATTTTTTTTAAAAGTCTACTTAGCCTGTTCAGATTTTTTTTTTCTTTTTTCCCAGACAGAAAATAAAATTCAAAGCAAAAAGATACCTGGTAATTACTGTAAGGTAATCCAAGATAGTCTTGGATTCCGTATTTCATGTTGTTCATTCTGTATTCCAGGTACTGGATTAATTCCAGATTTCTTGTCTTTGGAACTTGGATAATATTTCCAGATTCCAATCGACTGAGCTAAATTCTGGATTCCAAAGCCCAGGATTTCGGATTCTTGCAAAAAAAATTCCCTGATTCCAGATTCTACAAGCAAAAAATTTCCCAGGCCTGGAATCCAGATAACCATGTGTAAGGATAAATTGTTTCTTTGTTATTTTGTGCTGAACACAGGACACACCTTCCATTGAGCTTCTTCTTTTTCTTCTTCTCAGCAAGGATAGCAAGCATCATTACCTTACCTGTGACCACAAAAAAAATTCTTGTTAACTCTTTTTATCCTAAATGTTCACAGGCATACTCTATGTACTGCACATTAGCCATGGTACTTTTGGTGAGAATTTGATGGCAATCAAGACCTTTTTTACTTGTTGATGATTTTGTTTTATCTCAACTGAATCCATTGGTAATGTTTTACAATTGAGCAGTGTGATTACCAGCAAGGAGAAGTTAAATGTTGGTCATCTGGTCAATCAAAAACGTTGGAGTGGAGTGGGGTGGGGGTGGTCTCAAAAAAAATTTTTTTCGGCCTCATATTGCTCTGAAAATAAGGGGGGCCCAGGCCCCCTGGGCCTCTCCACTGGATCTGCCACTGGTGTTAAATTCAAAACACAACAACAACAACAACAACAGCTGACTACAAAATTAGGTCCCAATACATTGGAAGTGAAGACTGATTTAATTTATAATGAATAGCCAACATTATTGTCATTTATCATAAAAGCTAGCATCTGCAAAATCTTTATGCCTTTTGAATAGTGACAAAATTACACTTTTTTGTCCAACAATTCATCAGTGTCTCACAAATGCCTCAATTTAAACAAAAGAGATAAACTTTGAAAAACTGACATGGGAGGCTGGTACATATCATTGCAATCCATTACTAAAATATTATTCTTCAACTTGCTGTGTTGATTGTAATTGCTGTGTTGATTATCAAGGCTCTTAAGGGCTGATTTTGCTTGAAACAGCTACTTTAAATTCTCAACAATGAAAGCATTAATGTTTTATAGTGTAAATGTACTAATAAATAAACAAATAAACAAATTAATAAAGAAATAACCTACCAGTCTCAGCAATGTCGTGAAAATTGGACTTGGTTACATGCACAAATCCTTCAAATCTCTCATTATTCACCCAATCAGATACATTCTGTTCACCAACATCCTCAGACACTTCCAAGAAATAAATAATAAATAAAAAAGTTATTGTGGCTTCACTTCTAGTAAAAATAAATTTCTCTTTTCTTGGACAAAGATTGTCAACAGATCACTACAATCATGTAATGACTATCATTTCTTGTATGGAGTAGAAGACAGTAGTCGTATATTTCATTAACAAACATAAACAAATCATGTAAAAATTAATGAAATAATGTTTCAATGTTTCAGAATCTGTGAAACAAAGTAATACTAACTGCACACAAACCATGCATTTGAAGTAAACAATCAATATTGTAAGTTAAACTCACTTTGGAATGAGAAAAAGGAATCATCCTTTGACACTAGAATGGTTGGTGCTTTTACTTGAACATCCTATAGAAGAAGAATTATTTCCTAGTTAACCCTCAAAGTCCCTAGAGTGACCAACCTCAATTTTCTACGAACAATATTATTACATAATCAAGAGGAAAGGTTTTGAGAATCATTATAAATGATCACCAAAGGGAATACTTTGACCCCCCAACACATTTTTGGGGTTCAGGTGCATTCAGGGCTGTAAAATAAAGGGCATGGGTTCATCCCCAAGGGTCAGACCAATACTCAGCGTCTGATAACTGAGAAATGAACGTACTGTACTGCCTTTGCCCTGCAAATGGCTAGACCTCCACATGGCTCAGATGACCGCATAAAATGTCAATCCCGTCTCCAGTTGGAGACGTAAAAGTATTGTCTTCAATAAGCACTTTCGTGAAAACAAAACATGCAAACTCAAAGAAAATGCCTTTCTTTCTTTTTTTCACCAATATAATTTTACTAGATGTGTTAGTTCGAAGTTCATTCAAATTTAATTATATGAACACTAGAGATGGAAAACAATGAAGCAAAATGACATGCACATACATGCAAACAGAGTGGAAGGTCACCTTTCTCACTCAAAATTATTTGGTATCGTACGTCTCTTTGGAACAAGAATGGAATCCGTTATGAACTTCCAGTTATACTATTTTTATTGAAACTTACTGAGATGAAAGACGTTGAAGTCTTATTTATAAGATTATTTTCCTCTTTTGATTTCATAATAGTAAATTAATTAGATTTATACTTACAAGTTCTCTAGTAACAAAAAGTAGAGCATGCACCTCAAGAAAATCATAAAAGTTTGATATTATACTGTGATGGGGAACTCATAAATGGGCAACTGGGATAGGCAGCTTTCATGAAGAAAGAATTTATTCAGTTTAACACGAAATCTACAGCATGCTATGATTTTTTAGCCCGGTTATGGTCATTTCATCTGGTCAATCTACCTGATATCTATAGCTGCTGTTATAAAGATGAATAAAATGGTTATAAATGCCTGTGACTAGAGATTGACAGAAATGGATGATAAGCAGTCTTCAAACACTTCTGCCTCATTCAATATCATAATAGGGACTTTTAGATTGGACTACAAGTATGGTGAACAATTTCAAGTAAGAGTTTTCAAGCCAAATTCCCGCACCTCATATAGAATTTTACTTATCACAGCCAATCTTTCATTATTAAGTGAACAACAGAAAAGAGGTATACATGTAGTTTAACTCTTTCAGTCCCAATAGTGATCAACATCAATTTTCTCCTAAAGATATCGATACATTGGCAAGAGAAAAGGTTATGAGAGTTTATGAAATGATCATCAAAGAGAAAATACCTTCATCTTGATCTTTTATCAAATTTTTTTAACTAATTCTTAAAGGAAATGTATAGAGACCAGTTTGGAGAATTTGTATGTGGATATTGGGGCTTAAAGAGTTAAGGAATACCATTTGCCCCAAATTCCAGAGTCATACATATACCAGTACTCAATATTGTACTTGTAGTCAGATCTAATGATCACTATTGTCTTCCAACAAACTCAGCCAACAATAGATTCAAATATTACCTTAATTTTCTCTGACAATTGAGAATTCTCATTGCTTGTCACCAGGAAAAAGCAAACATTTTTCTCTTTTCTTACTCTTTCCACTTGCTCTGTGTTATGAAGCTCTGTTACCGCAGGCCTGGTACAAAGAGACCACAATACATTACTTGTATGTACGTTACAGGTCAAAATCTGACTTAATTTTGATTTAACCAACAATCAGCAACAAAATTGTTGGGACATTGTCCTCAAATTGGGTAGCGTCAGAGAAGAAAACCAATCCACAGCCCTCGACCCTACCATTTGTTCGAAGTAGATCGAGGTGTTTTGTTGTTTTCGACAGGTAGCTAAAACAGTGGCACAACATTGCGTGGAAGGGATGGGGGAGGGACAGCTTTATTTTACCTTTTTTGAGTTGGCAAAACGTTGGAGAGGACCTTTCAAGGGAAGTGTCCCAACTAATTTTGGCACTGATTGTAGGTTGACTGTCAATTTCCAATGTCTCCGAACCATAGAATATGAAACAGGTCAAAATTAAATTCAAGTTAAACTTTCTTAACCTAGGTTGATTTTCAACTTCCTTTGTCTCCTAGCCTTAAACCATGAATCAATGAAGAATCAACCTAGGTTAAAAATTTTAACCTGAATTTAATTTTGACCTGTAACAAATGCAAAGGAAACATTACAGAATAAATCTAGGTTAAAAACTTTTAACCTGAAATCAAAGTTGACCTTACAGCCATGCAAAATGGCCAAACATTTTCTTGTAAGAATACCCTCGTTAATATGGTCACCTGTTAATTAACTTGAGTTAGTCAAGAATTTGAGTTAACTGAGTTCAAGTTAACAGGATCTTCTGTCAATTTTACAATTTACATAGATGGTGGGTTTATGAACTGGAAAAAAATGATTGAGTTACCTGTTGGCTCGCTCAGCAAACTGAACAATATCTTGAACTGTGCGTTCTCCTTCAAAGGTGATTATACGCTTTCCTCTAACACTGCAGTATTCATGTGAGTAAAATATATAATTTTCAGGTCAAAATGAAAAAGGTCAGGTCAAACTAGAATATACATCTGAAAGAAGCATTGAAAGTCAACAAAAGTTAAAAGAACAGGTTGACATAGCCGATAGGGTACACAATTTTATGGCGCATACTAGAAAGTTGTCAGTGGCCTTTTGATGACTGCTACGTAGGCTATAATAAACCATAGCATGCAGAGAAACCTTGTTCTTACCTTAGGCAATACTTGAAGGTCAATATGATAAAAATAACTTTGAATGACTCTACTTTCTGCAACTTCAGAATAAATATTCTAATAAAAGGAGAAAATCATAATTGTAAATTAATTACCGGTAGATTTCTACTTACAAGTTCTCTAGTAATAAAAACTAGAGCATGCACCTCAAGAAAACCATAAAAGTTTGATATTATACTGTGATGGGGAACTCATAAATGGGCAGCTGGGATAGGCAGCTTTCATGAAGAAAGGATTTATTCAGTTTAAGAAACATCAAAAAAACGTTTTTTTTTTTTTGTTTTTTTTTTCACGAAATCTACAGCTTGCTATGATTTTTTAGCCCGGTTATAGTCATTTCATCTGGTCAATCTACCTGATATCTATAGCTGTTATAAAGGTGAATAAAATGGTTATAAATGCCTGTGACTAGAGATTGACAGAAATGGATGATAAGCAGTCTTTAAACACTTCTGCCTCATTCAATATCATAATAGGGACTTTTAGATTGGACTACAAGTACCAGATGGTGAACAATTTCAAGTAAGAGTTTTCAAGCCAAATGCCTGTGCCTCATATAGAATTTTACTTATCACAGCCAATCTTTCATTATTAAGTGAACAACAGGAAAGAGGTATACATGTAGTTTAACCCTTTCAGTCCCAATAGTGATCAACATCAATTTTCTCCTAAAGATATCCATACATTGGCAAGAGAAAAGGTTATGAGAGTTTATAAAATGATCATCAAAGAAAAAATACCCTGATCTTTTATCAAATTCTCTCAACTTAATCTTAAAGGAAATGAATAGAGACCACTTTGGAGAATTTGTATGTGGATATTGGGGCTTAAAGAGTTAAGGAATACCATTTGCCCCAAATTCCAGAGTCATACATATACCAGTACTCAATATTGTACTTGTAGTCAAATCTAATGATCACTATTGTCTTCCAACAAACTCAGCCAACAATAGATTCAAATATTACCTTCATTTTCTCTGACAATTGAGAATTCTCATTGCTTGTCACCAGGAAAAAGCAAACACTTTTCTCTTTTCTTACTCTTTCCACTTGCTCCGTGTTATGAAGCTCTGTTACTGCAGGCCTGGTACAAAGAGACCGCAATACGTTACTTGTATGTACGTTACAGGTCAAAATCTGACTTAATTTTGATTTAACCAACAATCAGCTACAAAATTGTTGAGACATTGTCCTCAAATTGGGTAGCGTCAGAGAAGAAAACCAATCCACAGACCTGGACCCTGCCGTTTGTTCGAAGTAGATCGAGGTGTTTTGTTGTTTTCTACAGGTAGGTCAAACAGTGGCACAACATTGCGCGGAAGGGATGGGGGAGGGACAGCCTTATTTTACCTTTTTTGATTTAGCAAAACGTTGGAGAGGACCTTTTAATGTAAGTGTCCCAGCTAATTTTGTCACTGATTGTAGGTTACTGTCAATTTCCAATGTCTCCAAACCATAGAATATGAAACAGGTCAAAATTACATTCAAGTTAAACTTTTTTAACCTACTAGGTTGATTTTCAACTTCCTTTGTCTCCTAGCCTTAAACCATGAATCAACAAAGAATCAACCTAGGTTAAAAATTTTAACCTGAATTTAATTTTGACCTGTAACAAATGCAAAGGAAACATTAGAGAATAAATCTAGGTTAAAAACTTTTAACCTGAAATCAAAGTTGACCTGTAACATATACAGTAAAACCCCGCCTTACAACCATACAAAATGGCCATACATTTTCTTGTAAGAATATATACCCTCGCTAATATGGTCACCTGTTAATACAGCCAAATTTTTTTGGCCCATTGGTGACTGTATTATTTTGCAGGGTTCCACTGTATTTTAAAAAATATTAACANCCAATAGTGATCAACATCAATTTTCTCCTAAAGATATCGATACATTGGCAAGAGAAAAGGTTATGAGAGTTTATGAAATGATCATCAAAGAGAAAATACCTTCATCTTGATCTTTTATCAAATTTTTTTAACTAATTCTTAAAGGAAATGTATAGAGACCAGTTTGGAGAATTTGTATGTGGATATTGGGGCTTAAAGAGTTAAGGAATACCATTTGCCCCAAATTCCAGAGTCATACATATACCAGTACTCAATATTGTACTTGTAGTCAGATCTAATGATCACTATTGTCTTCCAACAAACTCAGCCAACAATAGATTCAAATATTACCTTAATTTTCTCTGACAATTGAGAATTCTCATTGCTTGTCACCAGGAAAAAGCAAACATTTTTCTCTTTTCTTACTCTTTCCACTTGCTCTGTGTTATGAAGCTCTGTTACCGCAGGCCTGGTACAAAGAGACCACAATACATTACTTGTATGTACGTTACAGGTCAAAATCTGACTTAATTTTGATTTAACCAACAATCAGCAACAAAATTGTTGGGACATTGTCCTCAAATTGGGTAGCGTCAGAGAAGAAAACCAATCCACAGCCCTCGACCCTACCATTTGTTCGAAGTAGATCGAGGTGTTTTGTTGTTTTCGACAGGTAGCTAAAACAGTGGCACAACATTGCGTGGAAGGGATGGGGGAGGGACAGCTTTATTTTACCTTTTTTGAGTTGGCAAAACGTTGGAGAGGACCTTTCAAGGGAAGTGTCCCAACTAATTTTGGCACTGATTGTAGGTTGACTGTCAATTTCCAATGTCTCCGAACCATAGAATATGAAACAGGTCAAAATTAAATTCAAGTTAAACTTTCTTAACCTAGGTTGATTTTCAACTTCCTTTGTCTCCTAGCCTTAAACCATGAATCAATGAAGAATCAACCTAGGTTAAAAATTTTAACCTGAATTTAATTTTGACCTGTAACAAATGCAAAGGAAACATTACAGAATAAATCTAGGTTAAAAACTTTTAACCTGAAATCAAAGTTGACCTTACAGCCATGCAAAATGGCCAAACATTTTCTTGTAAGAATACCCTCGTTAATATGGTCACCTGTTAATTAACTTGAGTTAGTCAAGAATTTGAGTTAACTGAGTTCAAGTTAACAGGATCTTCTGTCAATTTTACAATTTACATAGATGGTGGGTTTATGAACTGGAAAAAAATGATTGAGTTACCTGTTGGCTCGCTCAGCAAACTGAACAATATCTTGAACTGTGCGTTCTCCTTCAAAGGTGATTATACGCTTTCCTCTAACACTGCAGTATTCATGTGAGTAAAATATATAATTTTCAGGTCAAAATGAAAAAGGTCAGGTCAAACTAGAATATACATCTGAAAGAAGCATTGAAAGTCAACAAAAGTTAAAAGAACAGGTTGACATAGCCGATAGGGTACACAATTTTATGGCGCATACTAGAAAGTTGTCAGTGGCCTTTTGATGACTGCTACGTAGGCTATACTCACAATTTTATTGAAGGATAACCTCTAATACCAAAGTCTCTTGCTATACCTGATAAAAAGTAAAAAAAAGAATAAATACAATAATAGAAAGAGTTATCAAAATTACGTACTAACCCATTCACCCCTGGAGATTTTGCCGAAAATGTGTTTTGAAGCAAGTCAAGCAGTTTTCTGGTCACTGTCGTGCTATAAAGAGCTAAAACTTATCACAAAGCCATTTACAGGTCGTACACTTCGCGGCCCTCTAATCCAGATGCAAAATATTAGCTTGCGAAGTTCGGGCATGTGCAGAAAGCAAAATTTCGAGTTTTAGGGTTTAGAAGTCACAGTAGTCTGGACTTTTACTTTTCGCTTTATCTCCTTCCCACTTTTTTTGCTTTTCTTGCCTCATTTTTTTTTCTCAGCTGAGCATTTAGTAGGCTTCATTTTGGTGGGAAAAGTTTTTAGGAAAGCTTTTAGGATCTTGGGATTATCATGATGACATCACAAGCGGTAGAAAGGACGTGGATCTGCATGGGTGGCTCAGGGGCGAATGGGTTTGGATATGATTAACCTAAGAAAAGTTTACAACTAAACAATTACTTAACCCATTCACCCTTAAAACTGCCTGTAACCACCCATGTGGACAAACGTCCCTTCTACCACTGTCTTGTGATGTCATCAGTTTGTTAAGGAAAACTTTGTCAACTAACCTGTGCAGGATGAAGAGATCTTTCAAACCATACCAGAAAGAGCATGGTTCAGTCAAGGAGACCAGAGAAAAAATCAAAAATTCATGTAACATTGACTCAAAAATCATGAACAATCTTGTTCCAATACCCACCTACATGTAACTTCCCATCATCTAATCCTAAAAGCTTTCCCAAAAAATCCTTTCCCACTGAAATGAAGCCAACTAAATGCCCAGTAAAAGAAAAAAATGAGGCAAGAAAAGTAAAAGAAAAGGGTAGGAAAGAAAGCGAAACGAAAAGGTCAAGACTCCTGTGTCACTTTCAAACCCAACAACTATCTCAAAATTTTGCTTTCTTCGCATACGCAAACTTTGCAAGCTAATATTTTGTCATCTGGATCAGAAAGCAGCAAAGTGCAAGACCTGAAAATGGCTTTGTGGTAAGTTTTAGCTCTTTACAGCCAAACATTGACGAAAAAACAGCTCGGCTTGCTTTCACATGCATTTTTTCGCAAAATTCCCAGGAGAGAATGGGTTAATTATGATCTATTATGGAATCAAATAATAAATAAATTAAAATTCTTTATTTATTAACTCATTAATAACAGCTGAATGGGCTATCGAGTCAGAGGCCATTTTTATTATATTAAAATAAGTCATACTTGAGAATCTGGTAGCATCTAACTTGGCCACTTTAATAGCAGAACCATGAAGAGTCCTGCCTACTTCTATCCAAATTGGTTCAAGTTTCTTGCAATAGCCACACCATGGTGCATAAAACTACAAAATCAAAACAACAAAAGGGTCTCTACACGAACTCTATCCAACCAAACAAAAAAAAAGATGTAAAAGCATAAAAATACTATTGCTGGGACATGCTGAGAAGAAAATAAAATATCTTTACATAGCCTCAATCACTCTTATAAAGATAATTGTCCTAATACATGTACAAGGACTGTGGAGCTGGAGGACTGGCCCAGTTTCTATGAGAATGAATTTTTTTTTATTCTGGCAAAACAGAAAACATCATTTAAAGAGGAGGGGAAGATCAACTTCAAAAACTGTTGCACTCCCTTTCTAATTTGTATCCAAACAGTGGCAGGTTTTATCACATTGTTCACTGTGGTAGGATTAGCTCAGTTGGTTCACCCAGGCAGAATTAGCTCAGTTGGTAGAGAACTTTAATAAATGATGAGCAGGAGGTCGCAGGTTGGATTCCTGGAGCCAGACCAACACTAAGGGTCTTAAAATAACAGAGAAATGAAGGTACTCCTTTTGCACTGCAAGCAGCTTGACCTTCGCGTGGCTTGGTTGGAGTTGGAGTTGTTGGAGATGTAAAAATAGTGTCCCCAATTAGTACTTTCCTGCTCGGTACATTGACACTCAAATAAAGTGCATTTTTTTCTTATTGTTTGGATATTTTTATGAGGGAAAGGGAAAAAGGTGTGGAGCCTAAGAATGCCTCTCCTTCCTGCCCTTCCCCTTTGCACTACACACCAGGGGTGCATCCACACTTGTTTATAATGGTGCCTAAATTTTGTCATAAAGTTAGAATAATCAATCAGTTATTACCTTAATTTTATAATTTTCTCAATTAACACCTTCAGTGAATTGAAATATACAAAATGAATCAATTTATGTCACTTCCACCATCCTTTATATTATGAACTCAGAATGGCTTGCTCTCCAGCTGGCTTGATTAGCTCGATGAATAGAGCAAAGGTCAGGACGTGATTCCTGGTCAGGCCCGAATTTTTCAGTTTTTTTTTTTACCTCTTAAGGAGCATGTGTTCCTTCACTTTCATAACACCCTCAGTATTTAATTGAAAATTGGCCTGGTGGATGCAGAATTTGTTTGAATCTAATTTTTTTTAAGAAAAGTTTTTTATTCCTTTTTTCTCAGTAGGAAAGTATCTTGGTGCCCTTGTCCCTCTGCAAGTTCACTTTACTGCAAAGAAGGGGATTATTTACAACGGCCATTCAGTCATTGACAAAACATGTTATAGCAACTTTCATGCGGCAGAAATTAAATCCTACCTCGACAAGCCAGCTGCCCTCTTTCTTAAGATCTGCAAAACTGTCACAGACAAAGCAATAAGGAGAAATAATAAGAATAATTAGGTAGCATTTTTAATTTAATTGAGCTTATCGTATCTCTTGTTCGTCTTTAGGAACCTCTAACTAGATACGAAATTAAAACCCAGGCTTAATAAACCTGTATAAAATCAAATTTTCGTTAAAAAATACGTTAATAAACTTAGTAACAGAGCTAGTAAAATATTCCATGGCCAGTCTCACCTGTCATCAAGCTCTTGTACAAAAGCGCTACATCCACAAATCAGAACAACTGGCAACGAAAAACGTGAAAAATACGGAATAATCAAACTAAATACAACATATGAAAGTAAAAGAAATTGCATTTACCTAGTGAAGGCATTGAAAGACACAATAAACGATGAAATGCACTTTTGTGCGCCGCCATTTTGGACAGCTGCTTTGCTACCTCGTCCCAGGCCTCTGGCTAATTGGACAGTTTCTTCTCCCCTCCCCTTCCCTCTTCTTCCCTTGTTTTGTTCCACTCGCGCGGAATCTCGAAACGCTTGCCACGGAGGCTAAATTCTATTTTTGTTTTGTTTTGTGTCTTCAGCAAAGGTTAAAAATGGACATTGGTGCTTTGGCAAGCCTGAAGGCGACATTTCAAGACGCCACCAATGGCTTCCCCGCGAAATGATCCCGTCCGTGGAACGACCGCAAACATTCATTCCAGGATTCATTTCGCGGGGAAACCAGTAGTCTTCCTCGAAGCAGTTTTTTGGTGGCGTCGTAAAATGTCAGCGGTTTTCGCAGGCTTTGTTTGTGCCAAATCGGAGTCTGCTCTTTCGAAAATCATAAAACCTCCTCCTTGTTAAATACAAGCATTTTGCTTTTGAAAAAATCTGGAAAATTAGCGTGCCTCTCTCATGTACTCTCTACCACCAGTTATGGGCTCCTGCGACCACCCAGTTCAAACGACAGCGCACAGCCTGGAGAAGTAAAGGAAACTCCTAAATCCAAAAGCAAACGCCGCTTTTTTGAATAATTTCCGATTTTAAAAAAACAAATTCCGATTTTCGAAAACAAGACCTGATTTTCCAAACAAACTCCAATTTCCGAAAACCAACCTTGATTTCCAAAAACAACCTCCATTTTCGAAAAGTCAAACTCTGATTTTGCTCAGTCAAACAGCCCTTAAAGTAGCTCTGTACCTTGACCAAACCACCCAAAACCATTGGCTCTGGTGTGACGGAAAGTCACGCGAGGTTGATTTTCGCGCCAGCTAAGCGGGCAGCTCACTGGCCAATAAAATCGAGGAATTTTTTTCCACCGGAAGTTTACTATAAGATAAGATAAAATTAAAAATGCTTGTTACCGGATACCTATGATGTTAAGGTCTTTGTCAAGGGCTTTCAGCAGCAATCACACGGTGATGTTTTCCGGAACATTTTTACTAATATATTTTGCCTTTTCTGGCAGTCTTGCTGCAGATATCAGATCAAAAGCGAATCTACCTCATCCCTTCTTGTATTTTAACGAGAATGAGATTACAGATCTTCAACATCGTGCAAGAACAACACACGCTGAAATAGCGAGCAGGATTCGAGCGGTGACTCACGAAATGGCACAGAATCCAGAGAAATATCTACCGCCAAGAGAGTGGTCCACGTTTTCCAGCTCTTGGAACGAACGTTACGGAAACGATTTGACCGTACTGGCGTTTTATTGCGTTTTAAAACCCGAGGATTTAAAGCTAAGAGAACTAGCGATTCTCTTTATGGATCGCCTCGAGAATCTGCCAAATTGGCGAGTGAACTCTACGTTGCATGACGATGTTCCGGTAGCACACTCGCTGACCGGCATGGCGACTGCCTACGACTTTTTATACAGCGTTTTAAACGATACGCAAAGAACTCGCTTTTTGAAGAAGATCGCATCTGTAACAAAAGAACTGTATGAAAGATCCTACGATCGCAAGTTGTGGTGGGGAAATTGTTACCTTCAAAATCACGTTGCTACGAACTATATGGCTATTTTAACGGGCGCTCTAGTTGTCTCCAGGCATCAGAAAGTGGACGGTGAAACATGGATGTCACGCGCTCATCTAATGCTGAGTAGGAATTTAGAGTTATTGAACAATGTAGTGGATGGCTCGATAGATGAAGGTGTAGCTTATGCAACTTACACGTCACGCTCTTTGACACAGTATGTGTTCTTTGCGTTACGCCACTTCCGGCGCGATTTCACGCATAATCCTTGGTTCAGAGAGCACCTTTGGTTTATACACTATACTGTCCTTCCTGGGTTTAAACAGACCGTGGGTATTGGTGATTCAAATCGCAACTGGTTCTACGGCCCAGAGAGTCAGTTAGTGTTTCTCGATAGTTATGTGCTTAAGAATGGATTGGGAAACTGGTTAGCTCGACAAATCACAGTACATCGAGACACGAAACCACCCTTTGCTCAAGCAAAGTCACATGTTAACTGCATGCTGCACACGGAATTTCTGTTTTACAATGCCAGCATTGTGCCGAAAGCTCAACCAAATCCGTCCTTGCCACGTCTTCACGTGTTCGCTGACTGGGGAGTTGTCACTTATGGCGGTGGAGTAGTCACGTCCCATAGAAACCGCCCAGACAACCCACTGATATGGCAAAAAACATTTCTTTCCTTTAAATGCAGCGTTCTTCATGGAAGAGCTGTTAATTCTATCGTCAGAGGAAGACGCTTGCATTCCTGGATTAGAAGGTTGACGAATTTTAACCCAGGCCATGAGCATCCCGACCAAGGATCCTTCGTGTTCGCCCCAAATGGAGTGCCCTTTATTACTGATACATTATACGCTCCTAAATACACGTGGCTCAATAATGCCTTAGTATTTGGACCCTCTTTAAATTCAGCGTGTTTTAGCCCCTTCGAGGGACAAATAGGAGAGTGTCATGGTTGGTTTAATTTCAAAACAATGTCTGCTTGGAGAGCAGAAGGGGAAATTGTTTCTGCTTCACACGAAGGTGACATGGTTTTTGCTAGCGGTGAAATGAGCCAGTGGTATCGAGCAGAGTTAGGCCTTTTGAGCGTCTATCGTTGCCTGGTGATGCTGACTCCAAGCGTTCTATTAGTTGTTGATCACATTGAACGAAAGCGAGGAGGAGAAGCATCGATTATGAGCGCCTTCTTTCACAATGTGGACCACCCCTTTAAACTCAACACAAATTCGTTTGCCAGCATCTCAATAGATGGACTTTTGCATCAAGTTCATTGGTTTAATTTTAATCTCGACACGAAAAGCTCAGTCGAAGCAAGAACGTACGTTACAGACTATAAATCCATGAAGACAAACTATCTTAATGTAACCACGCCACTAGAAGCGCATATTACTAGAACCGCGTATCTTTTCCTGGGACCTGGGAACAGTATAGAACCAGCTCAAGTACTACATTCCCATGAACTTGGGTTAGAGCTACTATTGACCGTCAATAGGGTGAAATATCTCGTTTCTATAGCAACACAACATAACCAGCCCTACTCGAGATACAAGTTCCTGGGCTTTGGGGGATTTTGCAAAGTACGAATCAACAATAGCAAGACAATACGCTTTGGTCTGGATGTTATTTCCAAATCGGAGGTGATCGATGTGACTGAATCGCCCAGTGGACTGACGTGGCCAATGTGGAGTATGTTTCCAACGCTTTGTCTTATATTCGGCATTTCAAGCACCTTTTTCCTTTTTTATTATCAGCTTCGACGTCAACTGATTGGACGGAACATCCGTAAAACAGTCTTTTTGGGCCTTTTGGCGATTTGGATAATTCTTACCTTCGTGATCAATATTGATTTGACTTTGACTGGGCCAATAGAAATGAAATTTACGAAAAACAACGAAAATTTCGAACCCGAAGAAACCCCTCCATTTGTTTTTTACACTTCTCTTCCAATGGCCGGAAGTGAAATTCTGCATTACCTGTTTAAGAATACTTCAGACTTCTTTTACGCTGGCCTCCACGAATCCACGCACAAATTTCTAAATCCTTGCGGGACGTATTCTCTCTTTCTGTCATCTAATGATACAGCTCATCTGAGAAAGTGGCTTAGAGCTTTGTCCAAAGATCCGAAAGGGTTCCTGCCAAACTTAAGTAAAATATCCCGTAAGTTATTACCCTCAGTTCGACTTGGAAACCCTGGATGGAGCTTGAAACTTGGGTGGTTAAGAAAAGTCGTAGGACAAAGAATGCGCGCTATTGTTGTAGTGAGAGACCCTAGAGGTTGGGTGAACTTCTGGCTTCGTGAAATGCACGCGGATAGCACACTTCGTGTCGAAGTTCACAAAGCCATTGATGTGATCAGAAAACTGAAGTGCCACAATAAATACTTGTCTTCCTTTGCACCGGAATTTCAAGAACTTAGAGACGCTACGCTTGAATACGGAAACGGAACTAACAAAGACATTGTTTCGTTTCTGGCTCATCTTTGGAAGACGCAAATGCAAGCAACGTACAGGGCAAATTTTCACCTTCCTCAGGAATCCATTCACTATGTACACTTCGAAGATCTGATTAACAAGCCTCGGAAAACTGCTCAGAGACTGCTTCAATTTTTAGGTGTTCCCCTTTCACCCAGAGCTGAACATCGTATTCTCACCGCAGTAAAAACGTCACAGTTCTCTCTAGGTGCCTCAAGAGAGGTGCTTGGAACCAAAGCTGCAACGGCCTGGGAACGTGAGCTGACTGACAAAGAAGCTGAGCAAATCAAAGAAATCTGTACTGATGTGATGATCAGATTTCGCTATGCTTTCGCTGAGGAGTTTAATTGGTGAACAGATTAAAGCTCTTAACAATTCACCTCTGCGAGGCGATAGTCAGTCAGTGCAGAATATGAAGGAATTTTCGACTAAAATTTTTTTAAGAAGCTTGTTATTTACTATCCTCGAAAACCTAGGGGCGGTCAGTCGAGTCGGGAGAAATGACGCGACGAAAGTTTTCAAGAACGGGTTAAAGAGCCCCTTTGTACCGACTCTCACCGGACCTTTTTTAAACGGTCAAGCGAATGCTGGCTCCTGATTGGGCACAAAAAATGCTTTGTATTATTTTGACGAATCAGCGAACAGCATCTCCTGAGTTCTTTTCTTTTTGTACCCAATCAGGAGCCAGTATTCGCTTGACCGTTTGGAGTCAGTACCCAGGGGCTCTTCCTCCCGTCCTTGAAAGGCAAGCAGCGTGTCTCGCGCTCCACGCTGCTTGCCTTCGCTGGCCTAAAAAAAAAACACGAAAATATATCGCCGGCTATGCAGGCTAGATAAAATTTGAACTTCTTACCATCAGGATAACAAAAGAGAATATGGACCGTGGGGAAGGGGTAGAGTGCTACTTTGTAACCCTAACGTAAAAAGACTGAGAAATCTTTTCAGGTGTTTATGACCATTTCCATTTCTTTTTAATGATCGCAAAGTCT